TTCAGGTTTTGGGTTTAAGGTTTAGGGTTCGGGTTTTAGGTTTGGGGTTGAGGGTAGGGTTCAGGCTTTAGGTTTAGGGTTTAGGGTTCAGGTTTTAGGTTTGGGGTTATGGGTTTGGGGTGTAGGGTAGGTTTGGGGTTTGGGGTATTATGTTTAAGGTAGGTTTAGGGTTTGGGGTTTAGGGTTTAGATTTGCAGGTTTCGGGTGGTGGCAGCAGAGTGATACGTACTAGGTCCTAGGTGGTAGTGGCGGAACTGGTGGCAGTAGCGGTAGTGGTACGGGCAGTGGCAGTGGTAACTAGTGCTAGCGAAGCGGTAGGGGTCGTAGTCGTCGTCGTAGTAGCAGTAGGAGTAGTACTGTTGATGGACAAACTTCTAAACTTCTGCATGACCCAAATATAGTATAGTCCACAAATCCCATAGTTTAGGTATATAAGGTCATGCAGGATTTTGTCCATCAACCGTAGGAATAGTAGGGTTTTAGCACACGAGGTGGACCCCAGGACGTTCGTCGCGAATGGAAGGAAGGAGTAGTGGGATTAGTGATATCGGTAGCAGAGCCGTTGCTCCGGCAGTTGGTAGGCGAAGAGGTAGCGTCGTTAGCGTCGTCGTCGTCGTCGTCGTCGTCGTCGTTGTCGTCGTCATTTGTCACTCTCGGGTGAAGCCCACGGTACGATAAGAAGGGGATAGTAGTAGAAGCAGCGAGTGTGGTCGTCGTGATGGTCTGAGTAGAAACTTCACCGCACGGTAGTGACAGGGGTGTCTTATGCACCTCGAAAGGTTTGTTGTTTCATGCGCTCAGCTGGAGATTCAGAAATAGCTCAGGCAGAACAGAAAGTGCTTTGCTTTGGAAAAGATTAAACGACGGTTCGGTTGCCCTGTAGGCAAACCTTGCTGCAACCATGCAACAAGCTTGTGGCAGGCCAGCGGAAGGGGCCTCATGGCTTTATCATGCAGCTGAGGCATGCCTGGGTGGTCACGGATGAATACCGAAGAGATGAGAAGGAAGCAAGGTAGTAAGAGCACACAATTACAACAAGCTCTACTCTCACTTTCTCAAGCGTCCTACGGCTAGGCTACTTCAAGTAGCACAACCTGCCAACAACGACCATATCAGAAGAGTCCCCCTACATCCGCAACATAAACAGCACCACGTCCCCATTACTTCTACGCGTGGGAGTATTGTCGATGCACACATGCAACCCGCTGCATGCCCATGCCAGTACACACGTCAGCCCACACGCAAAGGCACACACACAAGCAGATGGGCCAGCACGGGCTTGCCTTTTGTCAGCTCCAGTGCCCTGGAATGGTATTCTGTAGGTTTTCCCCAGCATTCATGGTTGAGGGATCATGCAATTGGTGCATGGAGCCTTTGGGAACCCTTCATGTTGTGACAATAAGAGTGGATAATTAATCTCTGACGATGTCCGGGATTTCCGTGAGAAATGGAGCAAGGTTTGGGTGCGTATTGTATATATTGAACCCTCAGCCCTACACCCGAAACCCTAAGCCCCTGGCCCCAGACCCTCTACCCGAAACCGCTCTTTTATTCCGGTTTCAGGGTTGTTTATCTATGGCGCAGGGGTCTGAAACATTAGTAAAGGTATTCCTTCACAGCGTCTATATGACTCTGCTCAATGACGCCGGGCTTCGGGCTGAGGGTTTAGGTTTAGGGTAGTGTGCTCGAGCAACAGGTCGTGGGTTCTCTAGGTCGAGCCTACGAGCTAACCCTAAACCCTAAACCCTAAGCCCTCAACCACAAACCCGAGCCGTAAGCCACTGCGGCCCGAAAGGCAAAATGGAGAGCTCGTCCCCGGCGTGACTGCCCAGGACGGGAAAGGTCGAGAGCTTCTTTCAGGGTATAAGGGGTTTAGGGTTTTAAGGGTTCTGCACGGACTTCGATAAGGGTCTATGTGTTCTATGAGGGTTGCTATCTGAGTTTGTATATCGAGGCAAATCCAGGCTTAGAGCCTGAACCCCTGACCCTAAATCCAGGATTTGGGTTTAGGGGTTTAGGGGTTAAGGGGTTAAGGGGTTTAGGGGTTGGGGATTAGGGCTTAAACCCTAAACACTAGAACCCCAAACCCTCCAGACGCTAAGTCAGTTTGAACAAGCAGGATGGGGTTTCGGTGTCTTCGCCGCGAGAAATCGGTGCCGTTCTCCATGAGGGCTCCCTCTCAGGCGCCGGTCACGGTACCAAAACTTGATAAGGATAGTTCTCTCAATTAGGTTCCCTGTTTTAAATCCCCAAAATAGTACGGCACACCCATAACAAGGCACTAAAAGGGACCCTAATTTTGCCCTTGTTAAAGGTTCTTTTGCTTGAAACGCTACGGAACACGGATCTGGAAAGACTCAACAGAACCCCAACCCTAAAGCCCAAACCCCAGTTCCCTGAGAGCCCCCTCAACTTCCAGGACATGGGTGACAAGACCATCGGAAACGATCTGGACAACGCGCAGATCGGCTTCAGCAAGGCCTGTGCCGGAAACACCTCACGGTGTCCAACCTATATGGGTAGTTCTCTAAGTTAGGGCAGGGTCCCTTTTTTGTTTCCCAAAGTAGTACGGCACACCTATAGCAAGGGCACCAATAGGGTCCCTAATTTAGAGAACTCTAAACCCTAAACCCTAAACCCTAAACCCCTAAACCTTAAACCCTAAACCCTAAACCCTAATTTAGAGAACTATCC